CACGTCTAGTGATAGGGCGATTGTTTGGTGGTTATGTCCAGCGGTTAGAAGGATCAGATCATCCTTTTGGTACATGTGTGTGGACTCTTGGTACAGTTCAACTGATTGGTCAATTGTTTGGGGTTGGTCCACTAGTATTAGACACTCCTGCAACAGTCTGGTGGAGTAAATAATTTGATTTTATAGGAAAGTAAATAAGTTAAAAACTTTAGTGATGGAATCTTCATAAAGTAATATCTTACTGAAATCTAAATATTAATTTGTTTTTACATTTGTTACATCGTGTGGATTTGGAGACGTAGTGTATATTGGTGAGGACTCTTGATTTTTGTCAGCTGTTTGTCGGATGGGTTGGTGGTCATGTCCACTAGTAACTCTTGCTCCAGACTGGTAGAGGGGTAAGTTCTGCATAACACAAATGTAAAAAATAAAAAGTGAAGGCATTAAAAATTAAAACGCTGAATAGATGAAAGAATTAATGGGGAAGGTCTAACAAATAAATTCCCATCTGTGTCTTCCAGTATGTAGGTTGATCCCTGTTGACAAAAGAGGTGTGGTTTAGTGTAGTAAGTAAGAATCAAATTGGGAGAGCAAGTAATAAAGTTGGAGAGGGTGGACAGGTGTGTGTTGCTCAGCCTTGGCGTCCATGGAAATTTTTGGCGAGTCAAGAACATGGTCCTCTTCCAACCTTATAGAAGCCTCTTCGGTCGACAGTGTAGGTGAAGCGGGAGGCTTTGGGGTACAAATCCGCCGACGTTTGGCAGATCGACCTTTGGAAGCAATGTTTTTCTAAGCAGAACGAGTCCTTTTGCTGGTACCTTGCAAATCTGGTTGAACGATATTTACCTTAAACGCGATTTAAGCCACTTGGTTAGCGAGCCATCGGAGTTTCTTAACAGGAGAATCAGGCATTGTGGACATAAAATTTCTGACAAAAGCAGAGGATCTTTTGGCTTTAAACTTACAGACTGGAAGGCTAGAGATAGCACAGACGGCTGGTTTTGTGGTAGCTTTCCCTTTCCTGCAGTTAATTATATGTTTCTTGTGGCTGCCTTTTGTGTGAAAAGGCTCGTGCACAATAATAGAGCAGGAGGCATCCCCACCGGGCAAGTGGTGTTTTAGGAAAACATGGATTCAACCTTAATCATGAATTCAACCTTACAATCACGAACCTCATCATCCCACTCACCAGAACCGTCGTATATACTTGGAGGTGGTTCGATAAATGGATTAACAACAAGCTACAAGAAAGAGGAATGTGAGTTGGTATTTGTTCAATCGATGTTTACATTGGAGGAAACTAACAGTAAAAACCAGAGATCTAACTTACATTGCAATCAATTTTGAAATCAAGGACGTCGTTAAGCGTTACAGAAGCGTTCTTTCGAAAGCCTTCTGAAGTTAAATTGATAATTCGAAGGCCATCAGAGGGATCTATCTGGTAAGTTATTGAGCAGAGATGGGATAGCTCTGAAGGCAAAGAGCTGCAGAACGAGGGGGAACCCGTTCAATTTTATAGATTTTTGCTACAGCTGTTTACAAAACAACAGAACTGGTCCCTTTTCGAGTTGATGCCAGGACCTCAAGGAGTCATCATCGACCACAACATTTGATGAAAGATTTTCTACCCCATGGAAATTTGAAGAAACTTTTGAGATTGTCGACCATCTTTACATAACGGGGAGTGAGAGTATGAGTCTGGTGGTTGGAAATAAGGACACAGTCGACAATTAGCAGTAGAGCTAGATGGATTCGGCGATCGCTGGGCATGTACTTATGATCTCGCAGCCAAGTTGGAATATCTGCACACGTTGTTTTGATATCGTCTCATATCCAGCGCTTCCAGTATAGATCCGTTTTTTTAGGGTTGGCTCTGTGGATAGGGTTTCGTAACGCTCTTCGAATAAAGAATAGTAAAACCAGTAGTGCTCCGGTACTGGGGAAAAGAGAAACGTGATGGCTGACCACCAAATACTATCCACATCTCGTACTTTTGCTTTGTCACCAATTGCCTGGCTAGGAGCGCCTGAATGAGTTTACAAGATATTGGTGCTCTGTTGGCGTGTAAACTGAACAGACCTCCAAAACTCGAGTCTAAAATCTGGTTAGTTCAGGAGAATCCCGTAGGAGGTTCCTGAAAACGGTGAGGATGTCTGGTTTCGAGTATACGTTGAGCCGGCATATCAGGTATCTGTCCGTGGTAAACAACTTTGGTGGGAGTCGTTCATCTGGAATATTATTGTCGTATGTAATTGAAACTCGGAAAAAACATAAGACGACAGACAATTCAAAAAAAAAAGGGGGGGGGAAGGGGGGGAAGGGGGGGAAGGGGGGGGAGGGGGGGGAATGGAAACTTACCAGACATTGACAAAATAGAGCAGAAGACCACTAGGAATCAGAGGAGTAAACGCCACTTTGATATGAATATAGGGAAGGAGATAAATTTGGGAGAGAAAATATGAAATTGCTGGGCGATTAAATTATTTTTTTTTGAAGAAAAAGTGAATCGCTCCATTTAGTAGAGGGAATCGATACAGCGAATACGAACATGCGTCCAATAAAGAGACGGTGTAGGTGGATGGGACCTCGATTTTAACGCAAACAAATTTTAAAAATGTGTGATGGATGGATATATAGATAAGTTGAACCGGTCAATTGATCATATGGATATTTTTCTTGTGAACATGTACATATAAAGTCCGTGTATATGGGCCTGACGGCGTGGATACGGAGATAATTTACATGTTTTGTGAGACCATGTCAGGGACGATCCTAATAGTTGGATAATTACTTGGTGCATGTTGTGGTTCCTCAATGTGGTCTAATTTGGTAAAATGATGACCATTAGGAAAAATAATGTGGAGACAGACTGAACGGTAGTTATTGATACTTGCCGGTTTCATACCCAGATTCGATAGGAGTTAGTGGGTAGATATATAAATATTGATCATTCTAAAATTTGACCACTAATTGATGTATGGATAAGCACATATCGATAGTAGACGTCCATGAGCTATGTGATTTTGGAGAAATGTATGGATATAGCCATCTGATAATCCGGCATGTTCGGTATTTTGTGATGGTTGGATTATTACTGGGAGCATTTGGTGATTATAAGTTGTGGATGATCAAATAACAATGAGTGCGAGTAGCAGGAATCAAACTAACGGAGTATCAATATGTATATGATGGGTAAATGATGACCATTGGTATGAATAATGTGGACACATAATGAAAAGTTTTGATCCATGCAGGATTCGTAACCAGATTCCGGTGATTTTTATCTAATCGATTTAGGTGGTGTGTGGATATGTACTTATTGAAACCACGACATGCCACAGTAAATTTGTATGGATAGGTCATATCAATTGATGATATGGTCATCTTCTACGTGGACATGTAATAGTTTGATAATTACTGTGCGCATGTTCAACTCCATGGACATGTACTAATTGATGTATGGATAAGTATATATCGATAGAAGACATCCACGAGCTATGTGCATGGATGGCGGCTCAAGATCAGTTTCATGGACATATGTATGGATATAGCCATCTGGTAATCCGGCATGTTCAATTTTTGTGGTGGTTGGAATATTATGTGTCTGCATGTGCTGGTTTATTTATTGTGGGTGATCGATGGACGTGAGTGCGGGTAGCAGAAATCAAACTAACGGAGTATCAATGTATTTATGCTGGGGAAATGATGACCATTGTGATGAATAATGTGGACCCATATTGAAAGGTTATTGATCCATGATTCGTAACCAGACTCCAGTGAGTTTTATCTAATTGATTTAGCTGGTGGGTGAAGATGTACATATTGATACTACCACACGCCCATTAGAAGATGTACAGATAGATACATATCAATTGAAGGCATTCACCACGTCTATGTGATCTTGGTGAAATGTATGGATATAGCCATTTGCAAATTCGGCATGCTCGGGGTCTATGTGATGGTTGGAGCATTACTGGGTGCATGTGGTGGTTTATTTATTATGGATGATCGAATAACCATGAGTGCAATTAGAAGTAATCAAACTAACGGAGTATCAAGAGATCAATGTGGTTAATCACTGAAAACTTTGAACATTGGGATGATCAAAGACAAATTTGTACCCAGATTCCAGTGAGAATTCAGTGTTCACAAAATAAAATAAGGAATTTATCTAATCAATTGAACTGGTTGAAGTTATTCCTCCATGTCAGTAAAACTCTATGAAGAAGGTAAGCTTAAAGACGGAAAAAATTGGTAAAACTCTTCTGAAGTTATTCCTCCATGTCCAATCGTACCCATATTCTGGTGAGGTTTTTGGTAGCCTGACTGAGTAGGGGGTCGTAGATTAGATTAAGAGGAATTACCAAATCGATTGGACTGGGTGTCAAAAGAGAGCTCAGAAAAGATTGGAGTGTTGTCATTGTTCTAATTGTTTAGATTGGTTGTTTATCTAAATGCCGATTTAGATAGAAATCAGTTAAGAAGGAGTGCATATCGTCTTTTCACTAGATAAGTTGTTATGAAAGTGCTAGTTAAAAGCAAAGTGCCAAAAATTTGTAATTATAAATTCCAAAAATGCTAAAAAGTATAAATTCCTCTATTATTTATATAAGAGTTTTTAAAAAGTTGTTATCTTATTATTCTATCGAACTTATTATATTTTTATGCTAATCCGACTCAAAAGTAAAGAAATTTATTATTTTATAATAATTATTAATTTATCGAATATTAAGTTATAAAAATTTAACTGTATATTGAAAATTCTCAACGAGTTATAATTTTCTTTTTCACAATTTTCTTCAATTACCCATTAAGGATTATTAAGAGTTGTTATTGGGCTTCATTTGGGCTCAACAAAAATGTAATAGCTTTGGGTCCGAAGGAATGAGAAGGCATTGGGGGTGTGATAGATTTATAAAACCTACATTTTTGTTCTTCCCCCTAATATTGAGGTGACAAGCCCGTCAGCTCTCTTCACCTTATTTGTGAACCAGTGGGAGTTTTGATTTGGCTTTTGATCCATCGAATCTGACTTCCATTTTCTAGATATTTTTCCCATTGCGATGGCCGCGGTTTTTAAGAAGAAGATAGAGTCCGAATCTTCGGGGCAAGTGGTGAATCCATGGGAAGTCTTCGTCCAAGACGGCGAGAAAATCGACTACGACAAGCTTATAGAAAAGTTTGGCTGCCAGAGGATCGACTTGTCACTAATTAATCGTGTTCAAAGACTGACTTGTCTTCAACCACACGTATTCCTACGCCGTGGTGTCTTCTTCGCCCACCGGTTCGAAATTCAGCTAAATTCGGTTTGATGATTAAACTATTTTCGTATGTACTTGGTCGTTATTACTGGTTTAATCGTGATATTAACAGGGATTTCAATGAGATTCTGGACGCGTATGAGAGAGGACACAAGTTCTATCTCTACACTGGAAGAGGACCTTCATCAGAAGCTTTGCATTTGGGACATTTGATTCCTTTCTTGTTTACCAAGTAAGTGACATCCTGGAGCCCTTATTGTCCTGTCAATGCGAAGTTTTGATGAATTCGGTTGCCTTAAAACTCCAAAATGGCTTGCAGATACTTTCAAGAAGCTTTCAAGGTTCCCCTTGTTATACAGCTCACAGATGATGAAAAATGCATGTGGAAGAACTTATCGGTAGAGGAAAGCCAAAGACTTGCCAGGGAAAATGCGAAAGATATAATTGCTTGTGGATTCGATGTAACAAAGACATTAATTTTCTCGGACTTCGACTATGTTGGCGGGTAAGTGAAATGCTCGAACCCGAATTTCATACGCAGTGGACTTTTGGCTCGACCATTCTTGGCCGAACACTTAGACAGATTTCCACGACATTTTTACTTAACATTTTTGTGTGTTATATTCGATTAGACAAGCTCATTTTCATGCATAAACTCAATTAGATTAAAACAAGTTTTGATTCCAAAACAGTTCAACTAGTCTGTTCAACTGTTCACCCTAATACCTGTCGATCCTCCAGACTTGATCACAAATCCTTTCCCCAACAATTCATTTAGTTGCTTCTTCTTCAGGTCGGTCATCTATGTCGGTCCCTTAGAAACTTTAGATATTAGAACAATTCCAGGTTCAAGCTGAGCAATCTCCAATCATAGTTGCTTTTTCTTATATTTCCATTTATTTTATGGTTTAGGATAAGTAGAGATTGAGAGAATGTTTTAGATGATTCTCGATGAAGTCCTTAACACTGAGACCATAAGATAGCTCTTATACTGTATCCTATATGTGTTTGGGCTGATGATGCCTACATTACAGTTTTACCTGGCTGATGATGTGCGAAAACTTTGTGTGTAGTGCTTTCTATAAAAATATGGTGAAGGTTGCAAAGTGCGTTACACTTAATAAGGTGACTTTAGTCTCTATCTCCTTGTATTTCACAATATTGCTGATGTGTTTTATAGTGGCTTTGAGTTCCTGGTATCATTTTTATATCTCTTTCGTTGCTAGGCTAAGGGAATTTTTGGCTTTTCCGGTGAAGATCATATCGGAAAACTCAGTTTCCCTGCGGTGCAGGTACACATCTTATTTTCCTGTTGGTGTGGGTACGTGAATTCTAATGCATATCGACTATCAGATTTTAATTGGAAAATTGTAATTTGCAGGCAGTTCCATCTTTTCCTAGCTCTTTCCCACATTTGTTCCCTGGGATGGACAATCTCCGTTGCTTGGTTCCTTGTGCAATTGACCAGGTGTGTTATTTTCTTTATATCTGAACCTGTTTGGTTTTGGAACATAAAAAAACTACTCAGTGGTGTAAAATGTCTGCCAACTTGGAACATTTTTATCCAAATTTAGTCTATTTATGTTCTGCGTTTGTATGTACTTATATAAATTACAATCAATATTTTCTTTTGATTTTGTTCAGGATCCTTATTTTAGAATGACTCGTGATGTTGCACCTCGGTTAGGCTATAGCAAGCCTGCTCTAATTGAGTCATCATTTTTTCCTGCTCTGCAGGCAAGTGTTTTCTTAACTAGTCTAATTAAGAAAATGTACACCTTGTAAACCACACTTTCAGTTTTTCAAATTATTGAATCCTTGGTCACCTTGTGCAGGGAAACAATGGAAAGATGTCTGCTAGTGATCCAAATTCCGCTATATATGTAACTGATACCACGGAGGACATTAAAAACAAGGTGAATTTCTGTAATTTTAATATATTTTGTTATTCCCAGTAGTTACTTTCCATCTATTATTACAAAGTTTATTATGTGTGCTCTCTTTCTATTTTGGTGTTACGGCATTTTAGGGTCAAACTTTATAGATTATTAGTTACCAGTTTTGATGATGAAATCAAACCATCGGTTCCAGTATCTGAACTTCACGTGGCTCCATATGCAGATAAAAAGATATGCCCTTAGTGGTGGGAAAGACACCTTGGAGAAGCAAAAATCTCTCGGAGCAAATTTGGAGGTACCAAATTCTGTTGTTTCTCCTCCTCCCCTTACTCTGTATAGTGTCTACTCGCAATTGTGTTCTTCTTGCACTTATATCCAATTGAAAGTTAGGAAATGATATTCTCTAATTTAGATTTCAAAATGGCGTTAGTAATACAACCGTTCCTCATATGTGAACAATCAATCACCTACCTCTTAATTGACTAGTCCTTAGAAATAATTTTATAAACTCTTATAATAAATTTTATAAAACATAAGAAATCTTAGAGATAAACACCCATTATCTCTAAATTTACAAATTATACCCAATTATTTAAAAAAATTATTAAATTTAAGCTAATAAAAATAATAGAATTATAAGAATTTCTTATAAAATTATTAATAAGAGTTTATAAGATAAACTTGTAAAAGAGTTTTGGTGTATATGTAAAACTTGTAGAAAGTTGTGGATTTAAACAGATTTTGAGAATCCAAAAGATATAAGTAGTATTTTGAAAATCATGATTTATGAGTTGAATTGTAAAAAACAATTATCCTAATAATACTAGATTTTAAGAGAATCATAAAAGCATTAAAATATAATTTTTTATGGATTTTGATTAGATTATAAAAATCATTAAACTAATAACAATGTATTTTTTAAAAATGTTATAATTTGTAAAGTTATAACAGTGAAATATAGTAAAATTATAAAAATCTATAAATCAATAACAATAAAATCTTGAATTCTAAAAATATTCATAAATTAACCTCCTAATAACCTCAAGTAACCACTTTATCTATAAGAATAGCAGATTTTTGCAAAATCTGGGTTCTTGATATTTGATACTAAGCCTTTTTCTTGTAATCTCCTTACTACTATTTCGCAGGTAGACATTTCGGTTAAGTATTTGAGTTTCTTCCTAGAAGATGATTTTGAACTTGAACACATTAGAAAGGTACGCATCTCGTTATTAAATCACTTCGGAGAAGAAGATTGTGTCCATATAGGGGTATTCTGAATATTTTTGCCATATATTTCAGGAGTATGGAGAAGGAAGAATGCAAACTGGGGGAGTAAAGAATCGACTCACTGAAGTGTTGACACAAATGGTGGAGAGACACCGCAAAGCTCGAGCTGCCATTACCGATGAGGTAAAATCGTTATTTTCAGACTATCAAGATTAATTATCTTATTCTACTGAATTCTAACACCCAAAAACTTCAGATGGTGGATGCATTCATGGCCGTGAGACCTCTCCCAAGCATGTTCGAGTAGGACCTAGAAACCCTTCTGGCAGCTCCTCGCAACTTCAGAGCGTTGTTTCATTTTCTCTTCACATGGAATTAGATATCTTTGCATCTATAATTGTTTCAAAAATATAATTTGATCCTTGCATTTAAATTATACTAGGTGATACACGCGGGTTTATATATTATTTAGATTTTTTAAGTTGTGTTTAATATAATAAGATAAATTTCGTATATATTTAGTGTCTAGGAGTTAAGAAATAGAGATAAAGAATTGGTTATTGGTAAAAAATATACTTTATCAAATATAACCTAATTCAAGATGGAGGATTGGTTATTCGATGAATGACAAAATGTTTTTACTATTTAGAGTAATGTGATTTGTTATAACTTTTTCTTCTATTTTCTGAGTATTTCTGTTTATTCAATTTTTTTGTAAACTTCTCATAATAGTTTTTTTACTCTCTTTTACTTAAAATTTTTAAATGTAAAACACTTTTCGTTTAGTCTAATTATAATTATAAAAACCTAAATTCTTTAATTATTTGTTCCTTAAAAAAATCAAACATATACATGAAAACTTCTTGTACATCCTAGAGGAGAGATCAATATCTTTTGCTCTTTCATTCTTTTTGTTAGCCATCTCCTTGGTATATTATATGTAAATTTTGACTCTCTCTTTGCCCTTTACTTCTTATATTTTTCTCTTTACACAAATTTTTAAAAATGCAGCAAAAAAATAATAATGAGAATGGAGATAACGAAGTACTTTATTAATAGCTAGTACTTTTCTGTCTTAATTTTCCTAGAAGCAATTTTTCCATTGACCACATAATCTTCACCACATATGTATAAACCCAAGAACCTCTTTGTATCCTTCTGATTTTATGCATTGAACTACACAGAAACTATCGTTGGTGTGGTGATATCACCGCCTTCTACTCTGTTATTCCTGGAAAAAAAGATGGAACAACCTTCAATTTAATACGCATTGCCGTCTACTTTGGGGCAGTCTTTACAAACGATAAAAGAGTGAAATCTTACCAACTTGAGTGTCAAGTAACAGATAACATTAGCATTGTCTCCTCTAAACAACAAATGGAACTCTCCATCTTTGATTGTTTTGCCTAAAGAGCCACCAATACTCTTGTGGGAATCAGAAACATGTCAACTTTGAGCATCTCCGCCTGGTTTTAAATCACAATCTTCACACTTTTAATAAGCGCAGCATCAGTCTTATTGACGCAGTTGAGTTCAGATTCAAAAACCATTAGCCCAAGTTTTCTCAAAATGACATCTTATGATTCTATAGTTCCATTACCTATGCTATCTGGTAAGAAAACTTGCATGATTTTAAAATATTTTCAAGGCTTTGGTCACGCATTTCCATTTTCTTGACATCTTTTCATTTGTTGGGATGATTTCTGTAGAAGTAGAAAACTTAGGTACTGAAAATTGGCATATAACAAACTCAAATCAATGACTTTAGACGAAGAAACATTTGAATTAAAAGAACATATTAAAATTCCAAACCCTACAATTATAAAATTCCTCTGGAAAGACTATACAATACATAAAAATATAGTAAGATAACTGTAAATTTTAATTGTATTAAAATTTGTTCCCAAAATGGTTACTTACATAGTTACATCTGTGATTGTAGTTGTAACATTTTCAACTTTAAAATATATAAAAGGTTTATCAATCATTCCAACTGGTTATGTTTAAAAATAATCATATAATTAGCCGAAAAGAATTTTAATAAAGCTTTAAATAGTTTATTTCTGATTCTCTATTTTAGTTCGTAAATAAATTTTTAGTTAGTAAATAACTCACATCTCTATTTTGCTAAGAGATTACAATTATAAAGATAGTAAATAATTCACAGCAAATTAATCATCTCAGTTTTACCAAGTTATTTCATTGGATGAAGTTTACTATCTTTGTAAAAACTATCACCGTAATAATCAAATTTAAAAACTATCACCATGATAACCATTTTATTCCATCTTTCCAACTTCTAGGAATAAGATTAATGAGATAATAATGAGTGCTATTGACCAAAAATGGACATTTCTTTCTTTTTTGATTTCTGGGATTATTAGAAAAAAAATATTGGTGTAAATACTTTTTTCATAATAAATTCAAAGCTGATGTGTCATAGGGAGAAGAGCTGATGTGTCAAGTTTGTGAGACACAACACACTCTTTATATAATAGATTTGTTATAATAACTAAATTATGGATCCATGCTGTGCATGGCTTTATTGTCACTGCTAAATTTTTGTCCAACTGGTTTACTTATATATATATATATATATATTTATGTCCTTAACATATTGTTCATGTGATTATTCGTAATGTTGAATTGATTTAATACTGTTTTATTATATTTATTTATTTGAATTATGTTTATGTATATAATTGTTTGATATTTTAATTATTTGTTATAATTTTCATGATTCTATGAAGCGATCTATTGATTTTCTGCCCAAATCAAATATTTTGTGTGGAAGAATATCATTTGTCAGTACAGAGTTCCATACGAGATAGTTATTGACAACGGATCTCAATTCATATTCACTCGTTTCAAAATTTTTTGCTAAAAGTAGAAAATTCACCTATCTATGCCGAGGTATTTCCAAGGGAATAGACAAGTCAAGACGGCCAACAAAACAATCTTAGAAGGATTGAAAAAGATGCTCGATGCTAAGAAGGGAAGATAGACAGATGAACTAGAAAGAGCCCTCTGGTCGCACCGAACGACTCTGCACCGAGCCACCGAAGAAACCTCATTCACCCTCGTTTATGGAATATAATGCATAATTTTCCCCTAGGTGGATTTCCCCAAAATACAACAAAAACTTTTGCCTGGAGAAAAAGACTTGAACCACTTGATGATGCTAGACGAGTTCGATTTAGTCAACGAGAGGCGCGGCCAAACCTTGATCTGGATTCAGAATTATCAGCAAACAACGACAATATAATACAATAACAATGTCCCAAGCCGGAGATTCCAGGAAGGAGAACTCGGCCGAGAAAGTATTTCAGAACATCACCGAGAAAAATGCAGGGAAATTCGGAGCCAACTGCGGAGGACCCTACAAAATCAAAGATAGTTCGTCCATAAGTCTATGAACTTGCAATGATAGTTAACGAAGCAATCTCAAGATTGTGGAATGCCATGCATTTGAAGAAATACTATCACTAAGGACGCACTACGACTAACATGAACTACTGGACGGCTTGATCCTTGCAAAGGGTACGTAGGCACCTCATCTTCGGATGGATTCAGCTATCCCCCCCCTTCTTAAAAAAAGGGGAGAGTGGATACGTATACACCATATTTATATATTTTTCTTAAGATTTTGGCTTGTTGACTTAGTTATTACCAGTTCGGCTAGTTTATCACTTATCTTAAAAAGTCCTTTATATAAAAAATGTTTACTTTTATTCTGTTTCGACGAACTTTCTATTATACACCTCGTTTCGTTGCTGGCCACAACAAGACAACAAACACAAAGTTCTTTAAATGGACTTTTATCACCTTTCCTAGGATGAGGGTGTAAGTTACATCCTCTATGGACGCGTGGATTGCGGCGCTTACTAGGGCTTTGGTAGCAGGGTTTTGTGAAAACTGATAAAGATTTCCAGGAAAGAGGTAAGAACTTTCGTTATCTTTTCATTCTTATGTGACCTTTTCATCCGAATTGCTTTGTTTCCAAAATATTATTTTCTTTACAGTAAGTACCTTAATGGTTTATTACTTCTCACAGGAACCTGTGGGGAAAAAGGGTCTACGCGATGACATAACCTGTATTGACATATTACCGTTGCAAAAACCGGCCGCGTACTTGCCGCCTCCGAAAAAACAAGGAATAGGAATGCTAAAGTCCCTGTTCAAAAGAAAAAGTTCAGACTCCTCTTCTAATATTGAGAAAGAGTATGCAGAACCTGATGTAGCTGAAGAACTTTTTGAAGAGGGCTCTGCTATGCTTTCAGAGAGGTCTGATTCTCTGAATATAGTTTGCTTACGCATATAGAGAATCTTCAATCTGCTAATCTTAATCAACTTTGTTTTTGGTTTATTGCAGACTAGACACAAAGTACCCGCTTTGCAATATGTTCAAGTTGTTCATGTGTACTGTGTGTCAAGTAGAAGTGAAACCTGGAGAAGGTGTCTCGATCCGTGCTGGTTCGTCTAATTGCCATAAACTTCGTCCCTGGGATGGTCTATTCCTTTGCGCAAGTTGCCAAGACAAGAAAGACGCAATGGAAGGGAAAAGATCATCTGGAGGTACCTACCTGCTTACATTTCCTTCTCTATTATTCTGCAACCGAACAATAAATTTTTCTTGAAAGCTAATCGTAACCATTTGATTTTGATGTGAGATGTTGTATATTTCTGATAGACATAGTAGTGAGAGGGACTAGCCAGCAATTACTGCAACTTGCAATTTTATTTTGGCAAAGCAAAACTAACAACACAGTGTTGTGAGTAAATTGGAGCGGTTCAAGAGGATCTTACCATCCAGAGATATATGAGTTCCTTGATCAACCACTATACCGTTCTTACCATTCTCACCATTCTCACCATTCTCCGGCAGACTCGAAAGCAGTTTGTGTTTTTTTATCTTCCCTTGATATGGTGATGCCTCCCACTCAATTGGTATCTTTCTTTTTTTTTGTACTGATCTTTTCAAGAGAGCTTTTTTTTGCTATACTAGAAAGATAAACCATGCTATATATTCAAACCAGACATCAAACCGCAGATATGTTTATTTCTTTTCAAATATTTGAAAAGTAGATGACTAAGAGTAATATTTTAACACAAATAACAAAGTACTAAGAAACGGAAAAATTGACATGATCATGTAAAAAAAAAGTGATTTATGAATTGCATTACAATAAAAGAAACTATAATACCATCATACCAAGATTTTAAGTCTTATTCAAAAAATATGTAAACAGTTATCATTAGTTAATTCCACAATCTTGCATCTCAGTTTCAATAATAAAGGGTTACTTTCAACTCAAATTCCAAATAGCTTACAGAATTAAAACTATTGTACAATAAATTATAACAACTATCCAGGCATAACGCGAACATTCACCTAATAAACATTAATAAGCGTAATTTTGGATACAGTCATGTAGATAATAGTCTAAAAATTTGCAAATTTTTGTTTTAAATTTTGAAAGTTTCCGGTAAAAAATATAAACCTTTCTAAAGCATACTTATCTCCCAATCTAATACTAACTCATACACTTATTTTTATATTCCCTTAGGTTTGGTTTCCGACCTACTAAGGATTTACTATTTTGTTTTACGAAATAGACTCTCTGCAAATTTACCATTAACATGGTGACAGTCCATCTGTCATGCCCCAAATAACTAGAATGCGGCAGAATACACCATCGCGTATTGTTATTCAAATATGACCCTCATAACTATCGCAAGTATCATGACTCTCAAAATCATTTTCATCAAATAATGTTCATCACAATTCCGCAAATCACTCAATAAGTTGAACCCATATGTACTTGAGCGGAGACTCTTTGCGAGTCGTGAAGGTCCAGGTTCATTCTAATCTATAGGATCTACCAGCGCCCGAAGACGAAGCTAATAATTAACCTAGGTCTATTGTGAACAGGTTGTGGCTGCCCAGGTGGAGCATTAACGGATCCTGATAAATTGTCTGGTGGTAGCGTTGATGAGTCTGATGATGTCATTTTATTGAAGGAATGAATGCCCACGAATAGGTGGATAATTTCGGGCGCTCACCATAGGAAGAGATAAAGATAACGAGACAAGGAGTGATAGCACAACTGGACCCGCAAATGCAAAGAGTCATAAACAGAATGTGTCACACCGAAGAATCATGACCCAAACCTCATTTTTGCATGAACTGAATTAAAGGACAAGTGTTTGGACCGAATGCATCCCCTTTGGCTATAAATAGGACTCAAAACCCATAAGTTAGACCTCTCTATCACTTTGAAACATTTCCAAAGAGAAGTAAGGAAGAAATAGATAGTGTGAGTGATCATGAAGGCTTATAGGCGGGGAGAGTATAGAAGGAAGGCTATAAAGAAAAGATTTTGCGTGTAAATTATTTCTTTCCGATTATAACCAAGGTGAGTTCTGGTAGATTAGTAGGAGACTAATCATGTTTTCCAGGAGGATAAAGGACTGGTATATGTGAGATTAGTTCTCTTATCCAAGATAGATTGTGTGATTTCTTGATTGTGTGCTAGGTTATTATCATGTGTAAGATAGGAAATCCTAGCTTGATAGATTTAGCCAAGAAATAAAAAAGAAAAAAAATAAACTCTAAAACGGTTGAGTGATAAAGATGCAACAAATAAATTAAACAAGGATGTTAAGCGAGAAGCCTATGCTCAGTAATGGTTGTGAAACGGTCTTTGAGGAGTTCAACGATTCCATGGACCGGTTGATTTGTGTGAGAATGACGAGATAGTCGTGAGGGGTCGATAGACACCATGGACTGTATTGTGTGATACATATTTTAGGCCACGGGAAAAAACTCGGCAGATTGAGTCAACACTACCCACAGAAACTCGACAGAAACATACACAAGACAACACATCCGAGAACAGAATCTGCCTACAGGCTATTTTCTCATCTGATCATATGTCATTTATCTCGAATCTTTGGTCATTTATCTCCACTTCTTGGTCATTTATTTCTACTGTCGGTGTTAGCACAAAATTTTCTCCTGAGTTCGCAAAAAACACAAACTCAAAAGATATTCCATTATCCACAAAACCTCTTCTGTACTGTTCTAAATTCTGAGGATGTCTCAAATTAAAGCTTTGACCACCTGATGGTGTCTAGGGTCTACTGCTTTACATTCTTTTTGTTGCATGATAAATTTGATGTGGTGAAAAATCCATATTGCTAAATAAAAAAAGTTAGCTGATTTTCTAAATGTTTTTATGCTACTAATTTACTAGATAAAATACTGAAGGTTAAAAAAAAAAACAAACATCTGCATCCTACATTTTTTTAGTCATTCAACAAATTCTCCAAATTGTCTCCTTTTTTTTCTTTGTTTTTCTACCAATCTTGCATGCAGTAAAAAAAAAAAAATTGCTTCTGCCCTAATTATACATTAATAATATTGACCATAACGGTAAACATAGTAGGAGTCAGTTTAAACCTAAACTGAATCCAAACCGCCTAATTGAATCGATCTAAACCAAACACAACAAAAAAATTCTTGTTTTTTTTTAACGTCCATTTTATTAAATTAAACTTACATAATCTAAATGTAATACATCAGAAATTAATTATGTTAAAACATAATGATAAGAAATATAATTGGTATTAACCGGTAGAGCTGCTATCCCAAGTGTATCTGCTGCTTGATTATTTTCCCGGTTTGTTCCCAAAAAATTCTTGTTAAAAAGAAAAACTAAAACAGAATTACGGAAAACAAGATCTTACATCATGAGTATTGTTCATGACTGAAGTTAATTCCCAAAATTGTGAGACGGTCTTGCCCACCAAGTACACTGACCGTTTTTTCCCAACCACTGGTTATATAGTCTGAGATTTATCAGCGGTCAAGGTTTAGGGTTTTGGGATGGATGCGATTGTGAGAGTTGTTTTTTTATATATAACATTTAATTATTATTAAATTATACTTTTCGACGAAAACGATGTGTTCTTATCTTCAAACTGCATTTACTATACAAGTTGCAGACCAAGACTATTGACTTCTTCATCATCTGAGAAACACAAGTGGATAGAGAGGAGAACATCCACGTTACAGACCAAAACCACATTTGGCCATGCAACTTTCTATTGTGTAATAGTCTCAATCCCAACACGTGTCTCTCTGTTTCTCTCATCTTTAGAGAAAGCTTTTGCTGCAACTACTTTGATACTTCTCTTTTCTATTAGCTGAATCTACGATGACATTTTTGTTTTTCCTCGTTGTTATCGCCTAATTAATCAGGTTTGATTATTTTGTTTCTAGAAATTGATGAAATTACAATCCTTTATTGCTTGATTATGTTTTCAATAATAAATACATTCTTAGTTAAATGTTTTGAATTAGTCAATCCTCAGTGTTTTTTATTCATTTGTTCTAATGATTCTAATCATCACTAGAAATGTAGGAGATTAATTTGCTTTTAAATCTCATCTTATTTTTAATCACTCTTCTCATAGGAATCGATTTTCTTGTAGTGCCTCCAATTTTTGTAATCAGGCTCAAAAGCTCCTGAAACTTTTGTATAGTTTAAAATTTCTACAATATATTCCTAAAAATTAAACTTAAGAAACTTGGTCACTCTCTTAGGTATATATGGCTTTTTTCTAGAAAAATGTTTGAATTATTGTTTATGATTAGTCAATCCTCAGTAATTTATCATTTAGTGTAATGATTTACTTGGGATCCTAGAAATGTAGCAGATTCTATTAATAAGCTTAATCTCCATCTTATATGTAATCACTCTTCTCCTCCTAATTTTGTGATCAGGCTCAAAAGCTCTTGAAACCCTCTAACAGTTTAAATTTCTGCAATATACTAACCTTTGACCAAAAAAACTTAGGAAACTTGGTAACTTTTTTGGATTATGGCTTTTTTCTAAAAACATGTATGATCCTACATTTGAAATAGTTATTTACAATCAGCAGTGTATGTTACTAATTTAAGCAGTGTTTGGATTGAAGAACGCAAAATGGGTTGGATTTGGAGGAAAGGGATCAGTGTGGGAAAGAAGGTTCTTGCGGCAGGTTTTGTTATGGCTTCTGCACCATTCCTTGTTCCACCACTAGTTGTTGCCTCCACGATTGCATTGATCTCGTCTCTTCCTTATTGTTTATTCTTGGCGAGCTATGTTTGTACTGAAAAGCTGATGAGGAAACTGCTTCCTGGTAGTGCTTTTGGTGGAAGAGGTGATAAAATGGTGCTACTCCGCGACAAGATTGGTCATGGTGATGTTTATGACGACGATGGCATAGCACAGGTGGCTATGAGTGAGCCAATTGTTATACAGTTTGAGGAAGATGACAGAACATCCTTGAGACTGGCTAACATTGTTTTTGATGTGTATCAAAGACCTGAAGATATGAAAAAAGAGTCAAAGAGCTTGATAGAGAGTATAAGAGATGATGATAGAACTAATGAAAGAATCTCTGAAAAAGTTTTTGGAGGGGAGGACAAAGAGTCGATAGATCCTAGTGGTGATGTCAAGCTAGTGAATGTTGTAGCAGGGAAGAAGCAAGTATCTGGGACTAGGCCTAAAGGTGGTTTATAATAGTTAAACTTGCAGGTTTTTCGAAATGTGAAATTTGCTTATGAATCTTCATGTTTTCTTTTTTAACAGGGGAACTTGAGTCCACTACAACTAAAGCATCTAGAGAGAAGGATATGGAAACATCTTTAAATGAGGTTAGGATACTTTCCATTCATGACTGAACAACATTCCATCACATCCATCTTACGGTTGAACTGAATGAAATAAAATAGTGCGCGTCCATGCTTCATTCTGGTTTCCAAATACACTTGCTAGTTGCTATGGTGTTATTTAACGGATGTTTTGGCCATTTGTGTTGAACTTGTTCTGCTATGTGGATTCAAGTAACATATTTGTACCTTCTTGTACCTTTTAATGATTAAGAATCTTTCAGAAGATAGTTCAATGGGTCTTCGTGGGACAATCCTCTGTTGTGAAGCTTCTTGAATTATTTGATACTATTATGATCTCAAGTCAACAAAAGATGGTAACTTTACATGACTAGAAATGCATTTTTGAGGGTTGATTTCATATTATTATAGGCTGAGTCAAGTGGTTGTTATAGTGTGTAAAACTATATGTAAATGGGTTAGATTCACAGTCAAAGGCTAGGTTGATGGTAGGATCGTGACTCTTATATGGTAAAGAGACTGTACAAGTACTGTTAAGTATACTAAGATTAATGTTTTTGGGTGTAGATGAAGGTGTTGTTTAGCGAGGAGCAGATATGGGCAAAGATGGAGGCATTAAGGAAGATAGTTGGATACAGTGTTGCGAGGAGTACGACATATTCAGAAGAACTCAAGGCACTATACATGTTTACAGGTGTGGAATTGCCGACATCAATGGTGGAGGAGAATCAAGATGTTTCACAAGTCAGTGAGAGACTTTGCTTTTTAATGTCTGTCATTGGAGTCGAATAGTTCTTTTGTTAGTCTACTGTACTTTTGTTATAGCTTATCCACACTGCTTTGGTACTGCACAATTACATGTTTTGTGTTCTTGTTTGCCTTTTTGCACATCTTTTCCCAAAAAGATACATTCGCATCAGAGAATATCAAAAAGAAATTCCGATGAACAGAAGCCAAAAAGACAACAATATCAATAACATACTTTTTTCTTCTTTTTTGTTGTGCAAAGAGCACAATGAATAAGCATTTTTTTCATCAAAAGCCCACAAGCCATGAACTAGTTTTGGATTCTTGTCTCGGTACAACTTTGTTCCCAAACTTCCAAAAAGAAGATTTCACACTAAGGGAAAGAACAAAATAAATGAGAGTTAAGACCGCGGAATTAGGCAATACTTCCGTAGTCCATCCTTCCATGAGACGTCGATGGAACGTTCGGGACATGATGGTTAGTCCTACGTCCTCCTTACAAGATGAAACAAACAATTTTTTTCCGGTCTAAGACCATTGGGAGACTGTAAAACAAGAAAGAAAGTTAAGGTGAGTGAAAGAAAGTACCCCAAGGGACACCATTGGTGAATGAGCTACTTCTCGGTGAACGTTGACCCCCAGAATTAGTGTTGGAAGGAGGAAGCTGAGCGTTGATGTGATTCCGATCCATAGCTCTTCCAGCATTTGGTCTCCCGTGGTTGTACCGTTGAGGAAGTTGCTGCCCTAAGCGACTTGGAGAGTTCTGGGAGACATGAGGAGTAAATTGTGATCCTGGCATAAGTTGACCGAATCTGGCATGAGGATCATTACTTGGAGGGCTGCCAATCTCTACTTGCGAAAAGGGTTGATTCGGAGCATATCTCCTGAAGTAGATTCAAAGAGTGAAACAAAAAGTTATCGATACGGTTGCAGAATAAGTTCAAAGTTTTGTATCAGAGGACGTTCAAGTGATAAACAATAACATCATGTCTGGAACATCCCAACTTAAGCTGCCTTCCTACTGGGTCATAGAAAGTAGAATAGTTTTCATTTACTCTTCCTAATCGCTTCAGATACATCGCTTCAGATACACGTCAACCAAGAATCAGTCTTCTACAAACGGTATACAATATATTGATATTGTATTAAGGGACAACCTTTTCTCATAGAACAGCACTATCAAGGCGAGTATATGCACATAGGTAATATCACGAATTCAGGAGGCATCAACATCAAGTATGGGACTCTCTGCGTTTCTATATTTTAGTCGGAAATCCCTGGTCCAAATTTAACATAGTTCTGATACTCAAACCTACTATATAGTTTGTCCTGATAAGTTAGTATGTCTGGACGATGTAAGATCTAAAAATCACCAGAGTTATTGGTGTTATATGGGCGCATTCTAACAGAAAAATAAAGAAAAGGATCGAGGATACTTTCCCCAAGAAGTCTTTTAGGTTACCTTTGGGTTGTCGGATTTGAGGACGGGGTCGAGGAATTACTGTTGAACCTTCTGGAACTGGAGGCATCTGTTGAACCAAGTTGCATACCTCTGCTGAATGCATTAGCAACAACACTCTCATCTGCGCTATCTTCTTGTAGAAGCAAGTCATCGCTGTACACGTAACAAAATTGTGCATATTAGAACACTTCCAATTAATGGTGAAAACATGTAAATCTGAAAGCAGAGTTTTGACATGCTAACAGTATCTCGACTGTAAACAACAGAATGAAAAGAGATTCAACAAAACAGAGATCAACATCAGGTAACAAAGAATGATTGCCGATTGAAATGGACACTATAATAACGTGATTGGTTCTAGATGTCACTCTACTGATTGATTTTGATACAGTTTCAATGCCCAAGACTTTGTCTATCTATATTTAAAACCTAATTACCAGTTAACAATGATAAGACATCAGGGGCTGCGACATGCCTGGTCTGGTATGATCACTCATACTCTAGTAACCTGTTAAATTTGTTCACGTACACAACATACACTCACAGACACAGAAACTTGACATTCTATATAACCTGTGAATTAAAGAATATCTTGTTTACTTGCCTGTAATTTGGGTCCCAATCTCCTGGATCAGGCACAGATAGGGAGGCAGTATCCGGATTCTCAAGATGGGGTCCAGTACTGGAAGGGTTATACATATTAGACCGAAGTGTTGAGTTGGAAATATTATGAGAAGGGTATCCAGTACTTAATGAAGTGCATCCTTGTGTCTGCTTACGGTTTTGGAAACCAGAATCCAATTGCCGTTGTGAAGGTGAACCAGAGAATTGACCAGAGTACCCATCATTTTGATAAAAATTATCCATCCCATGCCCTTGCGCTTGTGACAAGGAAGAATCCTGCGACTGAGAACCTCCAGAATATCCAACGCTTTTTCTTCTGTTAAACTGACTAAATGCAGCCATTTTTCCCAACGGAGACCCATGACTACTGTTTCTTACTGGAGATGTCGGGCCATGGTGTCCAGGAGAGCCAGCTAAAAATTGATTGCTTGTATTCGGTGGAGTAAACTGCGACGGACTAGTACCGAGGGGTAGTGGTGCAAAATTCCCAGCAGATGGACTTGTACCAAGGCTACCTCCATGTGGGTACTGCATAACCCTACGTCTGGCATCAGGACTGGTTCCAAGCATTGGGACACCACCTTTGTTTGGCATATATTGGCCAGAATGATTCACAGGAGAATAATAGGCAAACATATTGCCGGTCTCTCCATAGCTCCCGTAGCTGTTTCCCTGTAGAGTACCATCATTGTAGCTACCATAGCTTCCGATACTCCCATAACTATTTGCATGTGAATAAGGTATCATCTGAAAATGCGGACTATTGTGCATCGGGATTCTGGTTCTCCCAGATACCTGTTAATAAAGTAAATAACTTTGAAAAAGAGGTTCACAAACAAGTTAGACATAGTTCAAAGGGACAAAGAGCCCATACATGAGGAGAGAGACCAGCGGCAAACCAGTGCCCTCCACCTGGATGATGGTCCACTTTGATATTTTGAGCAACATTCTGCAAAGAAAATGGAAACGGAACACAAGAACCGATTCAATGAATTGAAGAATTTTCACATGTCCCTCACAAGATATAACTACATTTTTCTTTCAGCTAATTTTCTGCGAGATCTTTTAACTGAAACATTTGTATCAACAACAGAAAAAGTTGTAAAACCGGAAGAACGTGCTAGAAGGAAAAGTATCTTCAATCCATCTCATGATTATTTGGCTTTCAATATTGATTAGATAAAACTATAATTGTGAAACAAACATGTATCCAATACAACACACCGACTGCTATGAACACTACTAGTATGACAACAAGGCCACACATAAAGTTTAAGACCTGTGAACGAATTCCATCTCACTTACCACATGAGGTGTTTCTGGCGGAGGGTTGTATGGGCACGTAAAAGGTTCCCCAGTGATAAAAGGGTGCTTTGCTGCCTAAAGAAATGACAAAGTAGATGTTTGTCCATTATGGGTAGCAAAAAAATATGTAGCTTTAAAACTAGATATATAAATGACTTTGCCAGGAAGTTCAATACCTGAAAAGGTGACCAACGTTTTGCTGGATCAAATTCAACAAGTCCTCTCAAAAAATCAATAAGAGCTAACCGGATTTGAGTCTCTGTGATGGTTCATGGGAAAAGAAAAAAAAAACAGTCACGATGGAAGATAGTCCAGTGAATATCCATGGAAACTTAAGAGCATCAGAACATCCTAACTTTACCTTTGGCTACATCATCTTCAGGCAAGTTTATCTTGTAAGGATAGCCTTTAACAATTTCCTCAAGGTTTTTATGGCGGAAGTACTCTTTGCCAATATCTGGCTTTTTCTTTTCCCTCTGGAAAATTAGAAGTAAAGAATGGCACGAGTTATCCAGTGAAAAATCAACAACGTCAAACGTAAGTCTTCTTTTTTCACTGATATAATTGTCTTCCTCATTTCCAATAATCCATTTTATACTTTTGTTTATCCCAGAGGTATAGCAAGAATTACTTACAGCTTCAAACTCTTCTTCCGTCAATGCCATATAAGCACTTTTGAGGCCACCATAGTTTCCACCATTCCCTAAATTGTGGACACTCCCAACACATTTAAAGAACTTATTTGTATGCTTTGCTTCCTTGAGCAGATAATCAGGTGGCTGTTTGCTGGAAAACAATTTGACATAAATATAATCACAATCAGAAAAAATGCAAGAAACAATGTAAAAATAAAAAGTTCCTCGTTCCTAGAAATCTCAGTACTTGTTGCATAAATAGAAGCAAGGAATTCATAGTTGCACAGACGTTGATAAGCTAAAACTAGGATTGCTGAATACAGAGGCCAATGAAAGAATGACGATAAAGTATAGGCTAGCACCATAAAGTATGTGCTACTAGGAAAATTATGTGTAGTACAATATATGAAACAAAATGCAAGGGTACGACTATTGAACATCAAGGTGCAGGCCCAAAATATCACTGACCCCTACAATCATAGACTGCTTGCTCATTAACTAAATAATTCGATAACAAAAAATCATACCCCAGTATTTCAATCATACGCCTCAAGATGTCAAATTCTGAAACTCCTGGAAATAGTGGCAATCCAAGAAACAGCTCGGCAACAATGCAGCCAAAAGACCACATGTCAATAGCTGTAGTGTATCTATGTAGTGGTTAAGCCTCAACATTACGATCTGGAGATACTTTTAGATATCATGAACCATAGGAAGAAGAAAGCAACGAACTTTTGTTTGCAGTCAAATTAATGCAGGACAGAAAAGTAACAAATTGCTGGAACTATAGCAACAATATGAGTCAAAATGAGTCACATACCAAACAAGATTTATGAGAAAACAAGCCTATCTCCATGGACAGTGAGACATTGCAGTATCAAAGACTGAGAAAATATTATTAAAAAATTATATTTAAACTTAAAAGGATACTGGTACCCAAGTAACACTTCCGGCGATCTGTAGTAACGACTCTGTAAAACAATCAACCCAGCCATTTTAATTCTTTTGTTTGGATTGACCTATTAGGATAGACAGATAAATAGGAAGCACGAAGAGAACCTGAATATAGGAATAAACAGTCCTATCTTCCATGCACGCTGATCCAAAGTCAATTATCTTAATTTCAGTTGGCTTCACACTGATGCAATCGAAAAAAAATTCAACCAAATTAAAGTTATTGATTCCAGTTGTGTGTAAAAGATTGGTGCTACCGTGCTAGAGAGTAGACCTGGTACACAGAAGAATATTCTCTGGCTTCAGATCACAGTGGATTATGCCCGCATCTTTCAAAAGAGCCAAACCAAGTAAGATCTATGGGACATCATAAAGAAACAGTTGATGCAGAAAATTAAGACAACATTAAAGAAACAAAACGGTGTAACCACAGATTTAAAAAAAATCTAAATACCTGCTTTGAGAAGAGCTGGACAATGCTTAATGAAAGGCCTCTGAATTGATTTATCTTTATGAGCTCATACCTGTACCATAAAGTCCCAAGGACAATGGAATTATCATCAACAAAAACTTTAAAAGTTCGCATGAAGGAAATCAGAGGAAAAACAATATAGTAAGAAAGAAGGAGAAGCTACTTCAGTTATAGAACTTACAGATTCATGTCGAGAAGTTCAAAGCATATGCACAAATGACGTTGGTGTAAGAAGTAGTCGTATATGCGAACAATGTGGTGCTTATCCTCTGGATCATACTTCTTGTTTAGCTACACAGTCGAGCAAGAGACAGACCCCATCAACGATTTTCAATACCAAGAATATGGACATAAAGGATCATTCAAATATAAAAGAGTTACATACCGTTGTCAATATAGATACTTCAACCAGCGCCTGCTGATAGTATGCCGGCTGGTTTTTGATTACTTTTACAGCAACAAAGCTGTTTGTCTCAGGAACCCAGCATTTAGCAACCTGACCAAAAGTCCCATGGCCAAGAAGATCTTTGACAATGTATCTAAGACCACGAATAAAGCTTAATCAAAAAGACGTCTTTTGTAGGTAAAAAGCGGTTCAGACTTTATGCCACTGACAGTATAACAAAAGGAGGAACGGTATCAGCGAAATGAAAATTGCAGATTATAGAAAATAGCAAACCTCTGCCGTGAATCTGAACTGCAAAAATCATCATTTACAGCCAGAATTAGATCGGAGTTGACATTATCAAAGCCATCATTGAGCACACCAACTGATGGAGTAGTCAAGTACCGCTTGGGATTCAACTCGCCTCTATATTTGAACTGTGGGTTACATATTTTGTATGTCTCAACCAAGCCCCTAGTTAGTCTCACCACTACCTGCAAACAGACAAATATATCAAAGCTAATTGGAGCACTAAAAAGTATTGCAACAGTATGCTAAAATCTCGACTATTACCCTCCTTGAATAGATATATATATATATATATATATATATATATGTCTGGTGTAGATAGAGTATGGAAAATAAGTATAACCTCGCTTAAAGTCAAGGCAAGAAGAGAACAAAGTCAGGGCAAGAAAGTTAATTTCAAACCATTGCCTAGCTACCACAGCAGAATGATAGCCAAATTACAGCAGCTAGAAAACTAGTTTCAGACATTAGTAAAAGAGACTGGATATGTACTCCGCTAGACAGTTACACAACAGCATCTAAATATCATGTTACTGACTATTGAACTCCGGTCTGCATTTAAATGATCCAAAAAAGCTACCAGCCCAATTACTATACAATTAAGCTAGTGTGCAAAGACATTCCCTAGACACCTAAAAGCATGAAGGAGAAGTGGATAACTCTAACCCAACGCTGAATTCCCAATGACAAATTTGTAGAACTATATCTCCTTAATCTAAAGTTATCTGGTAAATGTATTGAGCTGTATGTACTAGGTAGTTAAGTTTTGTCCAATGTATTGTAGACAGATCTTGATGTATGAATGAGTTTTTCAACAAGCTGAGATAAGATAAAAGAATTACACATAATCTCTGTAAACCTTCAACAAAGCGATATAGTATAATTTCGGTAGATTTAGAAAGCGGAAGCATCTTCTAAGCCAACTTTATAACAGACCCTCTCCATTACTACTGTAACAGAACACATACTAGGTTATCTGTAAGAGAAAAAACATACTAAGCTATTTGTAAGACTGTCATGCATTACTGAAACTAGAGCTAGTTCTGGCAACAACATTGACATTTCTTTCCTTGTCCCTATCCGTTCTCACTATACAAAATCTAGTAGATGTTAACTTTTGCCAAATTCTAAAAAAAAAAAAAAAAAAGCTTGCTTCGATGCACTCAAAGATGAAATGAAATTCACAGAGCTCCCTCTCAAAACAAACTGAAAGAGAGTGAGAGCAAGACTCACCGGCTTCTTCTTCGAAGCAGCACGCAATGCTTGAGCTTTGATATCGGACACTTTCTCCGGAAAATAACGCTTGAAAACCATCTGAATTGGCTCCCACGGTGTTGATGCACCTCTAGAGCCCTTCTCACGACCACCATCGCCGGAATCAATGTCGACCATGATCGGAACGAAACAAGTTAAAAACACCCAAACCTCTCAATTGACCACACCAAACTCTCTCTCTCTCATACACGCAACTTGAGATTAAATTTTAATCACCTAATTCTATCTCTCTCTCTCTCTGACCCTAAGAAGCTTGAGAAATCAGGAGTCTGTGATGATCAACGGAGACACCCAATTGACTCTAGTCCCATGCCCCTCTTTCTTCATCCAATCAAACCCAAGTCAGCGCACTCGAAACCCTAAATCGATTCATAGGGCTATCAGGAAATCAACACAAATGTAGAGAAAAGATCGAGTTTTGTGGCGTCGGAGGAACACCAGCAACAGGGTAAAGCTGAATTTCAACTATGATTCGGAGAATAAATTGAAATCGGAGGACGCAGGAGTCGATAGCCTTTTAAGTGTTGGGGCTTGCGAGGAAGGGGAAGGAGACTGATTTTCAGAGAGAAAGGATTCGAGAGAGGAGAGAGAGAGGGGTCGAACGAAAGTGAAGCTTTTGATTTTGATTTTGATTTTGATTACTCGTCTGAGGAAGATGAGTCGATGGGTTGCGTCTTCGAAACGACCACTCCTGATTTTGTTGTTTCTCTCTTCTGTTCTGGCAAGAGAGATTATTAATGTTTAGTAGATTATATAATCCAGTATAATTTTGTTAATTTTTAAATATTTTAGATGACACTTTCAAAAGTTTAGCATCGGTATTTCCAATAAATTACCGTAGGTCTAAAATCAATACCAAAATGATTCAAAATTTCTTTAGGGTGTTATTCAATCACGGTTTTTAATAGAATTTAAATCCAACCACAATCCACTATTATTCAACTAATGATTCTAAATAATGTTTTAAAATCAAGTGTTATTGGTTCTTTTGATTGTAAATCATATTTAAGAGGTTTTAAAGTTTGGTGTTATTCAATAAAGATTTCAAATCTTTCATTAAAATCCAGTGTTATTCAAAACTAAATAATTTTTAAAATCTTTGTACATTAAGTTATTTCAAATCAATTTTAATAGAGTTTTATGAGTAAATTATTAGAATCAAAATCCAGTGTATATTGCAGAGATTTTAGAATCTAAACAAATGAATCCATCAAACTGATATCAATTTTTAAATCTAGAAGATTATAAAACATAGAAAATTCATTTTAAATTCATGATTGAATAACACCCCCTTAGTTTGTTCGACCGTCGGCTTAACATTTTATTTATTTCCAATTACTCGTCTTTGTGATTTCTCCTGCTTATCTTTGTGATTTCTCCGGCTGACGCAGTCTTTTTTCTCTGGTTTTAGTTTTTAGATTTTAGAATAAGACAGTTTTCATTTTTCTTTTGAGAGATGATTTTCTGTGTTTTGTCTTCTTCTGAAAAAGAGTGTTGGTCTGATGATGAATTTCCGATTTCTTTGGTTCCAATCTGTCGGTTTTAGTCGGTTAAGTGAAATCTCTAACGGTTGGTAGAAAATTATTTATTTTGGATGAATTCATAAGTTCTAAGACCATCTCCAATGGTTAGGATCCTTAAGGGATGCTTAACCATTTTTAAATTAGTATTTAATTCATTTTGTTGTTTAAGCATTTTTCTTAACATGTTTTTTTTTTGCAGGGTCCAATGGGAAGTGTTTAAAAAGGGGTGCTTAAGAATTTTTTTTTTAATTTGAATTTGTATTTTTTGAAATAATAAATATTTTATTGATTATAATATCAAACATACATTATATTTTGAAGAAACATATAAAACATAGAAATGTAAATCATAAACCATACAAAACATAGAAGTACAAATCATAAACCGTAATTTGGATTTGTGCCAAATTTGTTCCATAGATGCTCTGCTAAATCTCCTTTCAATTGTTCATGCTTTGTTTGATCACGAACTGAATTTCGAATTCCCATCAGATTTCCGATATTTGTATGCATATATGTCTCATATGTTAAATCCACTTATGAAGTTCTGGTTGCTTCTAATTATGTGAATGAGTCTACATCAAACTGAGTGTATCCACCTCGTTCGTCTTCTACTATCATGTTGTGAAGAATTACACATGCTCGCATAATCTTGCCTATTTTTTCTTTATCCCAAATAAGAGCAGGGTTTTTGACAATAGCAAAACGAGCTTGCAGAACTCCAAAAGCACGTTCGACATCTTTACGGGCTGCTTCTTGACGTTGAGCGAATAAGGTTGTTTTTTCACCTTCAGGCATTTGAATAGATTGGATAAATGTAGCCCAGTTTGGATAAATTCCATCTGTGAGATAGTAAGCCAAATTATATTGTCGTCCGTTGACAAAGTATTTCACTTTTGGAGCTTTACCTTGTAATACGTCATCAAAAACCGGTGAGCGATCAAAAACATTAATATCATTTAAGGTACCTGAAGGTCCAAAAAATGCGTGCCATATCCAAAGATCATGTGAAGCTACAGCCTCTAAAACGATTGTCGGTTTGCCAGATCCACGTGTGTATTGCCCTTTCCAAGCAGTGGAGCAATTTTTCCACTCTCAGTGCATACTATCAATGCTTCCTATCATCCCGGGAATTCCGCGAGATTCTCCAACATCAAGAAGCTTTTGAAGATCTTCTGGTGTGGGTCTTCTTAGGTATTCAGCTCCAAAAAAATATATGATTCCTTCAATAAAATTTTCCAAGCAAGAATCGCGGTGCTTTCACCAAGTCGGAGGTATTCATCAACCGCATCAGCCGCACAACCATATGCCATCATACGAATGGCTGCTGTACATTTTTGTAGTGCACTTAGACCGGGTCTTCCGGTAGCATCTCTTCTTTGTTGAAAGAACGGAATTTGAGTAGAGAGGCTATCAACAATACGCATGAACAAAGGTTTGTTCATTCTGAAACGACGACGGAATATATGGGCTGGATATGTTGCATCTTCTTGGAAGTAGTCGTTCCACAAGCGGATGTAGCCTTGTTCCCGATCTCTGTCAATATATCTCCTTTTTTTTGTTGAAAACCATGATTAATGACAAGATTTTCTAACGCTTGATTGAAAAGTTGATCAAATCTTTCACCAACATTTCCTCCAAATTATTATGGGAAGATCCAGCCATTTTGAATGGAATTTTTTTTTAGAAAATTAAAAAGGTAATCGGAGAGAAGTAAAGGAAAGGAAAAGGAGAAGGAAGTTTGTAGAATGAGAGAAGTGAGATGAAAATGAGAGAATTGTATGAGAGAAGTGATATGTAAATAAAGGAGGAAGTGGTTTATATAAGCATAAATGAATGAGTTTCTGCCTTGCAAATTATGTGGTTTACAATAGAAGACATAAAATTCCAAAATTCATGTCGGCACTAAATTACAAGTCCATAGAATACAAATTTTTTTTAAAAAATAACATGACTAACTTTCATGTCGGCACTAAATTAGAAGTTAATGGCTATCGGCCAAAATCTTTAGTCTTCTCTCATCCATAACTTGTTTGAGTCATATCTGATCCTTGTGCCTTGCATCAAAACAAACAACAAAAATAAGATAGGTGAGCAAACTTTTATGGATCTTTTTTGTAAGCAAACTTCTTTAACATAACTAACTTTCTGATCCATTAAATAAGAACAAAGAGGAATATGTTTCCCCATAACATTGCATTGAACTACAAACAAACACTTAAACAAACAGTTAAATAAAAGCTCAAACAAAGACTACAAACTAACATTTAGACAAGACATAACCGAAGACTCAAACAAAGACTCAAACAAAAACTTAAAGACATAACCGAAGACTCAAACATCTGAGAACAATTCTTTGATGAGCTTATTCTTTAAATTTATTTATATCTCGTTAAGTGGTTCTTCTTTTCCAAGCAGGTTCTCCAACATCTTATGTTTACTCGTTATCTGTTTCAGTTCTTCATCTTGTTTCCTTATCACCATCAAGTTTTGGAACTCCAACAAACCATTGCTATCACCTTCCTTATTGGCTGCCTCTGATCCATTTTTCTTGCCTTTTGCCTTTGCTGCTTTCACACCTTGTGGCCGCGGCAACCCTTCACTTTGTGCATGAACATGTGAGCTTGAAGAACCTTCAGCTGTCCTTCTTCGTTTAGACTGTCCATTACCATTAGATAGACACCATTTTGGATCATGCCTAAGCTCTCTCCAACAATGTTCCAAAGTAAACTTGGCCTTGTGATCATTCACATAAAGCTAATTTGCAAGCTTCAACACATCATCTTCGTTTTGCCCACTTGTTTTTTGAGAGGTTGCAGAAGCATAGCAACCTACAAATTTACAGACTTGCTCATTTATCTTGGCCTACCTGTTCTTGCAATGAGCCGGCACTCTCTTCTCCATTCCAGCAAGCTTTTTACTTGATGCATAGTAAGATGCAATCCTATTCCAAAAAGCTTCTGCTTTTTGCTCATTCCCAACCATGGGATCCTTAGATGTGTTAAGTCAAGCACTTATAAGGGCAAGATCTTCTACAGGACTCCATTTTCTTCTTGACTTTCTAGACTCTTTAGCTGTGCTTTCATCTTCACTTGGAGCTTCTGACCATTGACTCCTAAACACAGCAGCTTCTGATTCACCGAGTTGAATGGTTGGTGAAACATTTGCATATGTGAGAGGTTCAAGCACTTGTGGGTTTTGTTGACTATTTAAGAGGTCAAGGAAGCCATACTCACTATATGGATTCATAGGATCCATATTGTTCATCGATGGCTGTTAAAAGGATAAGGAATGATAAGCATAAAGATAAAGATTAAGAGAGAATGAATAAGGAAAGAGAGGAAATAAAGATAGAGAATAAGAGAGAATGAAAACTTGTGTTGGCTATGAGACCTGCGGTTATGAGAGAAAAGAGTTTGTTTGGCTTAAATTTAAAAAGACAAAGGAGAAGTAAAGAACCGATTATGGAAGAAGAGTTAATGCTTTACCCTGTTTTAATGGAGGCTTTAAAAGAGAAGGAAGAGGTTAAGTTAAGTTAATGAAGAGGCTTGTGTTGGTGTGATAATCTATACCAAGTAAGAGATTTTCATGAAGCTTATCATCTGATAACAAGATTGGTGGAGAGAAGACCCAACTCACGTCTCACTGTGAGTACAGTGCTTAGTTATCATTTATTTTGAACTTCCCATAAAAATTTAGAGTTAATCTCTGATGTAATGTGTTTTTAAGGCATTCTAACTGATGCGAGTTAGGATAGGTATCGCAAAAGAAGTTTTAAATTTGTACACCTAGTGTCTGCAAGTGCACAATCGTGCGTTGTAGTACTTAGGGTGTCGATCCATAGGGAGAGTTGTCTTTCCTGCAAAAACTTCAAATTGGATTAGTAATCGAAGTCAAAGACTAATGGGAAGTTTTTTTTTTGGGGGGGGGGGGGTTGTGTGTCACTGAAATAGTAAAGGAAGCAAAATAAAACAAGACTAAAAGCTCTAATAAAACAAATGTTGGGCTGAGAGAGATATCTTAGAGGGTATTTGATTCATGCTAGGGTTTTAAAGCTCATAGGGGGCGACTTGGACTTCACCAGTTTACTCTAATCAATGTCTAAGCATTTCCAATCAGCTTCCGGGCGATTTATCCTTATCTGTTTCTGGGATCTGCATGGAATTGGAATAGACATGTGTATGATTAACCAA